CGCCGTGTCATGTGTACCTGCCCAGCACCATGTGATGCATACATGTCATGTCATGCACACCTGATTCACATCTTATGGCGATGAGCACACGCCTTGTTATGTGCACGTGCCTCATGCTGTGTGGTGACGTACATATGTCTTATCAAGTATACCTGACTTGCGCCATGTGATAACATGCACCATGCCTTGCTGTGTGTACCTATCTCACACCATGTGTTGACATGAGAACATGTTGCACGCCTCCTGCAGATTCCCTGCCTTGTCATGTGTACCTGCCTCAGACCATGTGGTGGTGTGTACATGCCTGGTTGTGTGCACCTGCCTCACACCATGTGTTGACATGCAAGCACCTTGCCACCTGTACCTATGATATACACTTTCTCCAGAGTACCTGCCTCTCATCTTGTCATGTGTACATGCACACACTTTGTCACGTGTACCTGCCTCATAACGTGTGGTGACGTGCACATGCCTTGTTGTGTGTACTGGCTTCACACCATATGCTGACATGCACCTGCTTTGCGACATACTTATGATACGCACACCTTCTCCAGTGCATCTTTCTCACACCGTGTGGTGACATGCACCTCCCCAGTAACATGTACCTATGACACACGCATGCTTTGCTATGTATACCTGTCTTGCACTGCATGGGGACACGCACACATCTTGCAATATGTACCCAAGACACACGCCTTGTTGTATGTGCCATTCTTACACTGGTGACACACACATTTTGCAACATGTACCAGTCTCTCAGAGCCTGGTGACACACATCTGCCTTTTGATATGTGTGCTCTCACTTTCTTGGGAGCACATGCATTTCTTGTGACAGGGATCACCCTTGCATCTCATGGTAGCATGCACATGCCTCGTCATGTACTCATCTTGTGAAAGGCACACACACGCACACACCTTGCAACATGTACCCCTTGTACTGACATGCGTATGTCCTGTGACGCATACTGAACTTTTGCTTACATACGCCTTGGATCATGTACCCACGTCACACTTCATGAGAACATGCTTATGCCTTGTGACGTATACCTAACTTGCACCTCATACTGACATCTGCCTGCCTTTGGACATGATCCTGCCTTACACCTCACAGTGACATGTTTTTCTCCTGATGATGGCATGTACACATCTTATGGACAGCCTAACACCTTGTGCTGGCAATACACACACGTTGTGACATGTAATTAATTCACAACCTGTGACACGTGCTTTGAAACATGAACCCATCTTGCAACCCAGGACGGCATGCGCAAGCCTTGCAGTGACCTGATCCCACCTTGCACCATGCAGTGAGACAGATGTGCTTTGTGCCTTGGAATGACATGCATAAGCATAGGTGTGTGCTAAGAGTGTCATCACGTTTCCCAGTGGCAGGATGTTGGCGGCACCCACATTTTATAGTCGTTTGGGTCTGGTTTTCCTAAGGTGCTTTGTGGCTGTGATGTGTATGAGGGGCTGGACTGGGGACAGGACTCGATGGCCCAAGAAATTATTTCCAGTCCTATGCATACCCATCTCATCCCTTCTGGAGGCATGTATATGACTTTGCCTCCCGCTTTGTGCAGATACGGATGTGTTTGATACCTTTGGGAAGTCATGTGTATGCCTTGTAACATACCCCTTTCACCCTTTCTTACAATGAATGTGTGCCTGCCTTCTGGTGACGCAAACATGGCTCACCACGTGGTGACACCCTGACTCTTTGTGATGGATTGAACATGCCTCGTGGTGCCTGGTGCACGCTTTGAGATGATGTGGATGAACTTCCTGCCTTGGAGCGACAAAGATGTGAGTCACAGCTTGGTGCAACACACACATGCCTTGTGAAAGTCTCCATCTGGTGATGATATGCACATACATGAACCTGCCTCACACTCCATAGTACCATGAATGTGTTTTAGGCTTTGGGGAAAAGTGCACACACTGTGATTTGTGTCCATCTCACAACCCATGGAAACAGGCACACGCCTTCTGGTGACACAGACGCACCGTTTGTGACATAAGCTCTCAGTCTTCCCGATGCAAAGAATGAGCTGTCAAACCCAATGGAAATAATGAGGGTGAGTTAGTATAGACGCTGCAGTGACAGAAGAGGGTGAAAGGCAAGGACAGCACCTTTAAGGACCAGAACAACCAGTGTGACTGGACAACCCAGTCATCACACGGGGGTCAGGGGAAAGTGGAATTAGGAAGCCAGGCAGTAAGTGCAGAGGAGCAGGAGGAGGACAGGACGGGTTGGTTGAGCTGGATGCTCAGGACAGTGGAGGACCAGGGTCCCAAGCAACAGAGAAAGCAGGGGAAAGGGACATAAACACTTGCCTAATACAACTTTTTTGAATAAACATTTTCTATAGTTGCTATAGCAAAGTTACGTGATTGCAAATGGGAGCAGAAGATGCCCATGTAATCAGGGAGAGGAAGGGAGCATGTCGCCAAGATAAGCTGTCTAGGAAACAACTGTGTACAAATTTAAGAAGGCCTGACTTAATTGGCTTTTCCTACAGTCGTTACCAGCGTCGGGTTACACATGAACACCTCAAGAAAGGCAAAAGACCAGCAATCAGGACACTTGGGCTCTGATCCTACCACCTGTGTGAGTGAACTCGGTGCAAAGTTACTTCACTTTTCTGTGCTTCAGTTTCCTCATCTGGAGATTGCTTATCTCCCCCCAGAGGTGGTACAGTCATCTACCCTGGAGATTTTTAAAAAGTGACTTGACGTTCACTGTCTGACCCCAGCGGTCTTTCCTGCCCAAGTACGGGGGGCTGGACCTCATGATCCCTTGAGGTCCCTTCTAGCCCCTAACATCTATGAATCTATGAAAGTGATCTGAAAGTGCTTGAAGGACGTCAGACAGAAGGTGTTGGATACATGGAAGGCAGTACTGCTGGTCCCAAATATTACAACAGGAGTCAGGTTTAAAGAGATCATGAAATCGGTCTGAAAGTAGTAATTAAAATAATAATAATAACCTTGGGTTTATTTGTATTTGCTTTCTAAGTTTGGTACGTTTAAGATATGTCTGGGTCACATTTCCATACTGTTCTCTGCAACCATGAGGCCTAGAAACTCCTTTTTTTAAAAGGAAAGCAGAGATTTGAAGCGTTCACACGCAACTTCTGAACTGGGGCTTTAAGGGAACAGGGATTGTGGTGAGATTTGGCAACAACTGACAAATAATTATTAAAGAGAAAACAAAACCAACAAGTCAAATTTCACTGTTGCTGGTGGCGAATGAATGCAAAAAGTGTGTAAGTCACATAAACAGGGGGAATTGAAGTCTTACTTTTAAGAACATAACACCTTCAAGACACATTTGGATGCTTATCTTGCTGAGATCCTATGATTCCTGCTGCCTTCCTGCCCCTGGGGCAGGGGGCTGGACTCAATGATCCTCTGGGGTCCCTTCCAGCCCTGATGTCTATGAAATCGATGAAATCATTGAACCTAGAAAAAGATTCTTGGAAAGGATTGTTTTAACTTTGTCACTGCTGCTTGACATGGTAATCAAAGAAACATGCCAGTTGTTTGGCGTGTTCTGTGTTTTAGGAACAAGTCTCTGTATACTAGGATTTCCCAGCATCGGCAAGGGATGTGGCAGTAGGCCTGTAGGCATGGGAAGGGCAGGAGGCAGAAAATGGGGTAGTGGGAGAAGATGAATCATGGCATGGTTCTGGCTGCACCACATCTCATGCTACAAACCGCTCTTGCAGCTACAATAATTTGGTAGCTGTCTTCCTGAAAAGCCTCCTGCAGCCTCTTGGGACTCACTGGGTATCCCTTATACAGCTAGTGGCATGTGTATGTAGAGGATTGCATGGTCAGGCTGGCTCACACTTCTCTTCTGTGGTCTGCTTCCTATATCTCAAAGCCACAGGAACAGATGCGTCTCAGGCCTTGCCGCCACAAACACAACAAAAAAAAAAGAACAACAAAACCAAGAAGGAACATACGGGAAAATTATGAAAGAGAAGAAAAACACATGTTGAGAAGGATTAAAAAAGAATGAAAAAGAAAGGTGAGAAAATTGACAGGGGAAAAAAAGGAGTGATAGCAGCAGCTGTGCTGAGACATGGTGAGAGGGGACTTCAGCAGGATGGGAAAAGGATCCATCTGCTAATCCCACACAGGAAAAAGAGATGGGAGTAAATAAATGTGTAGTAATTTTTAATACTATTATTTTATTTATGGCAAAACATGTAATGTAGCAAGTACTTTCCAAACCATTGAAGAAAGGCTTGTCCCTGCCCTGGGGAATTCACTGTCTATGGACACAGTGACAAGAATACACAGGCTAGGGAAAGAGGAAAGATAAAGTGGAAGTATTATTATTATTTTTTTATACAAGGCAAGTAGATAGGTAGTGTGGCAGTGAGAGAATAGAATAACACACTAAGTGTTGTTGTGAACAGACGGTTTCACAGTCACACATCCGGGGATGAGAGACAGTGTGAAACTATGGGGTTTTTAGACGTCCGTCTCTTTTTATTCTGCAGCCTTTGCTCAAATTTCTGTATATGATTGGGCACTGGCATTCCAGAATAACAAATTCATCTTTGAAAGATAGCTGTCTGTCATCTCTAAAGTTCCCCTGTATTTGGACAAATCACACTTGACAATTACACACGTCCTGCATGTTACCAAAAATACCAAACGTCTAAACATTACTCCAGTTGAAGAAAAGCAGATGGATTAGGCCCAGAGCCCTGAGCATCTGGAATCAGAGCAAGGGGTTAAAGAGCCAAATTCAGCTCTGACGTAAGCAGAAGTAACACCTACTGAGATCATGTTTCACTTTTGAGGGACTTTTTCAAAAGACATTTTGAAAAAGTGAGACATTTATTTGAACCTAAAATGCAAAGTGAAACTGCAGAGGGCAGCTAACACGGACGGAAATGAAACAGAAGACTGGTGCATTTTCTGATTTATGTGGAATCCCCACCCATTTTCCTCTGGGAGTATAAAAAGACACTGCTTCATGACACCCAGGGCTAACCACTTACAGTTTCTGCCATGTGGTTTAATCTTCTCAGATCAGAGAAACGTTTGATCACAGTAAGCAGAGAGCATCTGTGGAAACCTTAAAATATATATATATAATATAAATAACATATATAAACAGAGCTTGGTGAGATGCCATTTCAACAGTGCTGTTTTATTTATGCTCTGTATGGCTTCCCATAAAGCTTTTGATTATAGCAATGAAAAAACGCTCCCGCAGGTGACACCTGCTGGTGGAAACTTTCGCTGAGCTGCTGCCTGCATTTTTGCAGGAGGACTTGGAAGAGCAAAATAAGGCGGTGGAAGGAACTCCTTAATTAACTGGTTACTTATTATGAGCAGCATGGGGTGCCACCCCTCTTGACTCAGCCTGACAGCAAAAGCGTTAGCGGTTTAGCAGAATTACAATATTACCTGGAGATCCATCTCTCATGGTGCAAGGGCCATACAGCACTCTGGCAGAGCTGGGAATAGAAATGAACTCTCTAGACTTCCAGATCTAGCACTCTATTACTAGGCTGAGCGGTCTCCTCTCAGTATAAACAGCTCCACATCACTCTCTGCAAAAAGCCAAAGCTGGGCTCTGGAGAGACTGTTGGTATTGGTGACATAGTCTCTGCTGGGACTGCTAGCAACGGGACCAATTACTGGTAACGGTGGTAGTTTTTGTTAAGTGGGAGCTTCGCTGGAAACTGATTGATTTAATCATTTTATTCCCTACCTCAAGGGGTAAGCTGATGTTGTGCTGCCCATCTGCGTGAAGCCAGCTCTGAAAGATATGAAACCCTCTCTCACACCAAGCTGCTGTTAACTCTTAAACCTAAAGAAAACAGCGAATAATAAAAATATTAGTGATTTCACTCCAGAACCTTTGAGCAGAAATACCCAGTTAAGGAGTTTACCTGACTATTCTCAATTATCTCTAATTATGACTTTAGCCCCCCTGTCCCTGCTCAGCTGGCAGCATGTCCAGCTTTCCTGCTAGCAACATCTACAAAGCAGTTATGTAACAGCATTGCGAACATCTGTGATACATGGGAAACTGAACACTTGAGGGCAGCATAAAAATGGATTGTAAAATAAAAAGTACGTAGCTACTAGTTCTTTTCATATTGGATGAATTCATTAACCTCCATTTTAATTTAACTGGAGCTGTTGCAGCAGAGCACTACAGAATCCAGAGGCATTAGTGTGACATTTAGGTTCAGCTTGTCACAAAGCACCCAGGGCCTTGTGTGATATTTAGCACAAATAGTGTCCTGTGAAGTCATCAGTCAATGATTCCTCCCTCTGTTCTGGCAAAGTATAAATCCTAAATCCTCTTTCACTTTTCACTCCTAAGTGGTAGTTATGCAGCAGTGTAACTGCAGTTTGGGCACTTATGCAACACTTGGGTTTCAGCTCTGAGACCACAAGTGTTTGCACCTCCACTGAACATACTCAGTAAGGCTGCACTCTGGCTTAGGTAGAGTTGAATCTTATAGATTAACGAAAGTAGTTATGTATGATTCGATCAGCTATTAGATAAATCGCCAAAAAGTCCTGCTAAAGCACATGAGCTATACAGACGCTGGGGAGTTGGGTCTGATGCCTCTTCTAGTAAAGTGCTTTATTTTTCCCCATGCCTGTCAGCACCCATAAGGTCAGATAAGTCCCCAGATAATAGCCATACAAAAACCCATGACTAGTAGGTATTACATAATGGAGCAAACGCCCCACGGCTTAGCCCAATAGCCTAGTGGTTAGGGCATATCCCCAGGACAGCTTGTCCCCTCTCACTCAGATAGATTTTGAATCTGCTTTGTAGCATGGTGTTCTAACCACCAAGTGACAGGATAGACATTAACTAACACCTTTTCTATCCATCCCCTTGAAGCTGAGCTTCTCTGAGCCAGGAGAAGGAGATATGTAGAAGAGGGGAGGAGATATGGGAGATAAGTAGAGGAGATGGAGATATGGAAGGAAGAGGCCAAGCCAATGGCTCTGCATGGTTCAGTAAGGTGACTGATGCCTTGGATGGGAGACAGCCTGTACCCAGGCTCCAAATAGGGTAGAAACCAGCCCATTGTTTTCCATTTATTAGGTGCAAAAATGTTAAATGTAAGCTGCAGTAGACTGGCTTTAAGAGGAGGGCTGGGAAGGCTTCTGCATAATGCCTAACCTTTGCCCTAAAAAAATCTAGAACTTTTGGTTCCAAAATGATATCTTTTATTAGACCAACTGGGAAATCGCAAGCAAATTGTGTAACCTTTGCCCTTTCAGTTAGAGCACTGTGCTGGGAAGGATGAGATGCAGGTTCAGCCCACGGTCTGGCTGAGGGAACCCTGGAGTCCAGATCTCCCACTCTCTGGACAAGTCCCCAAACCCTCCCCCATCACTGTTTTGCTGTCAGCTGCTATATGCACAGGTCGATTTTATTCCACCACAGGGACAAATAGAATCTGAAACTCTGTGTAAGTGCCAAAACTTGCAGTTACACAATTGCATAAGTGCCACTTAGGCACAGAAAGTGAACTAGGATTCCAGCTAAGCGGTTGCTTAGCTCACTAAGAAAGCCAGTACCCAGGTAGAAGTAGATGACAAGTGTTCTCAACTCCTAGGCTTTTGTGTGGTCCACCCAAACTCAGTACTGCACAAGAGACCACCAACCCTAGCAGATGGATAGGTTGCGTGCATGAAAAAGCCTATGCAGAGTTGGCCTCTTGTCAGTATGAGTCACGGACAACTCCTGATATGATGCAAGTTGAGAGTTTTTACTGGCGACTCATGAAACAAACAGTGACTCTTCCTGCAGATGGAACGGCAGAATGACTACCTTTGGCTTCTTTATGCTGAAGTGTTGCAATCAAGTACCTCAGAATTAAAACGAATGACTTAACAGGAACATCAGGCCCGTGTGACAAAACCTACCATGATTTCAGCAAACCTTTCTCAAGAACTTCCCCAATTGCACTGGAGGGAGCAAGAGTTTTCCAGCCCTTTAGGAGAGGCAGGTGACAAACTTCCATGCCAAACTGAACTCTTTTGGATTGCCTGCTGCCAAATTCATGCCCACAAGAAACTATTTTCTGGGGTTTTAAAAAATTATTCCAGTGTGGAAAAGCCCTTGAATGAGAAACACTTCTTACTTTAAACCAGCCCTGCAAAATAAACTATTTCTGGCCGGGTTCTCTATTGTTGCATGGTCCTCAAAGTGACTGATGTGGTACATAGAGTCAGCAAAGTAGCTGGATGCTCCTCACAGGGGATTGCCTTGGAGCGGGAGAGCTAGTGGCTAAACACGGTAGTTAACTCCCATGCCGCTCTTCGCAGCCACTGGAGCACAGAGGTAGGGCCTGAGTACAGAGCACTCTGGCTAATCTCTGAGGATGGACAGCCCCTTGAAGGCCATGGATGCTGGGTGTGCTTTACAGCAGCTGCCAGGACCTAAATCATGAGGCTGGAACCAGCCCCTGCTGTACCTAGCAGATTCTGGCTGCTGTTGAAGATCTGGGTTGTTTTTTCATTATTTTTACAGTCTAATTTGGTAGGTGTGAAAATGCTTGCTTGACAGCTCTTCCAAATGCAGAGTCCTGTACCCCAAAGCAAGCGCTGTGCAGGTGCCACCACCCAACACAATGTGCTAGGCTGGTTTCTAGGACCATGAAGTTAACTTTGTTTTCATGCCCCTTTGACTCTAGGTCTCTGTGCTGGGGTTGGCAGCACAGACGTTAAGTAGTGCTAGCGCTGTCAGTACACACCTAATTCCATTCATCGGTCACTGAACAACCATCACCTGGTAGCATGTCTCAATCACTAGCCATTTGGGCTGCATTTGAACCAGCTGTCTACAACTGGACAGGTACACACATGTAGTGCCCGTGACTGGAGAGAGCTAGTCCTTTACCAAACGGTTAACATTATGGGGTTAAACAAT